CAATATCCTAGCGTTAATAATTTTCGTTTTATTGGCAAATCAAAAGGGTCAGCTACTTCTGGGACACCCTGCATTTTCCATCAGCCGATCCTGTTTGCCCGTATTTGTTGACATTTTCATGTTAAATTCATTGAGCGGATTAACTTAATGGTGCTTTGCTGTTACGCTGTCGAGAAACAAATTGTTCACTAAATTGTGACAGAAGATGCGTATAGATGGGAGAAACCCTACTGTCACGTCTACTTTCAGCAGTCCACTGTTCTTATCCCTGTGAGCACACCGGTGAAAACTGTCTTTATGTACTGCGGTCCTCTTAGAAGGAATTTATATTCCTGAATATTACGTCTGCTATGATATTTAAGAGTGACAGACAAATACCTCTGTAGACAGAAACTCTCCTGCTGGTCAGGAGAGGGGTGGAGTGAAGAGTTTACTTCAGAAACACGCATGCTAGGTGCTCTTCTGTGTTGAGAAACGGCGTATATTGACCGGGCATCTGTTTAAAGGAAACGTGCAGCTTACGAAAGCTGGATAGATGTCAGGCCCCGAAATAGCAATAAAGATACGGAGAGATCCTTTACGATGGACCAAAACCTGGCCACCGCCATTGTCATAGAAGATTTCAGAGGGCAGCCAAAAACCTACCCGAAGACTTTGAAGTATTGTTTGAATTGAGGAGACTCGTGACCTTCAATTTCACGGAAGAGCACAGCGTTATCATCAAGCACAGACATTAGCTGTTCCACCTGCTTCTGGGGACTTCGTTTCATTTCCTAAGTAGGCACAAGAGAAACACAGGCACAGATAGAGGAGGCAACCATAATGTATTTTAGTGTTCAAGGCGGAAAAACACAACATCTCTCCGCAAATAATGTAGTGACCAAAACCTATAAAATAGTGATTTGCTCTTGAAAGAACTTTTTGCGTCAAAGTTTTAAATGGCATCGGATAAGTTTACTATGCTTGGCATAAACCCTTCTTCAAAATATGAATTTTTCCGTTAATTATTTATACAAGGGCTCCTTGAAAAGGCTATAGGACCACCCTATCCATTACAAAATATTTGGCGTTATAGTTTGACATTTATCCTATTTCTAGTCTCATGTAGGCTTGGACATTAAAAAATTTATTTTTGCCTTTATAACTGCGCATTCAGCGTTGAAAGTCCATGAAACTGTAGTAACATTTTCGACAATGCTGTGTACATATTTGTTTCTAAAATCCGTGCGGCTCTTAGCTTCAATGCGAACGGTTTTTGGTGCTCAACTTAACATTGTCTTCGTCGCAGAGGCCATTAAATTTGTATTAATATTCTTAATATATGGACCTCACGAGCATATGTGAAGTGACAATATGTATTAGAGCTGTAGATTACTTAAAATATATTTTCCGTCCTACCTGTCTGAAAGTTTAATACGTTTGTGGTCTACCTATTCAGTGAATATGATCAATAACTTCACTTAAACAATTAAATTTATTCAAATATTTAAAATACGGCTTGATGTAATCCTCAATAAAATGTAAATGCGTCTTTTGTTTGAAATTCACAGATGTAAGGCTTTTTTGCTCAGTGTATTTCTGCGTACTGGGATAGTCCTATTAAGAACTCGTTATGTCTGCTTTATTTCCTGGAAAACAAAAAACAGGCTATTGCGAGAGTACGGATAGTTTTCTAATGATATAAATTACCTGGGCTACTTTCTGACCATACGAAAAGTATTCCAATTAAACTGACTCTTTTAAAGACAAAGATGAGCGAGCGTCTAGTGATCCGAAAATTATAAAGGGTTAATTAATTCGGATATTTAGTTTTCTGAAGTATGTTTTATTACGCAAACATAAGCCTTCTGGTCCACTTTTAACTTGCAGTCCTCATTATATACGGACAAAAGGTTTTAATGAATAAGGATGCTACACCTAAAAAGCTAATTTCAAATCTTTTGTAGGGCAATACATCAACGAACAGAGACCTTAAGGAACACGGCTTCTTGAATATTGGCGTATGTATAACTGTTCAAAACAATCCTGTAGATTATTCTGAATACTGTGCGAGTATAAGGCAGCTATTCTTCTAAAGCCCGTATAAACAGGTATATGTTGATGTGTGTTGTCAACTAAACTAGCTCTGCTGTATTTGAAGCCCCCGAGTATAGTTACGCCTATGCTTATGTCACAATGAGTTTTAAAATCATTCAAATTGATATGCACATACATTCAGAGAAACTCTTTTGAACAATGAATTCAAAATATCTTATCTACCCAAAATGATACGTCTACGCTAACAAAGAACATTTAATGGAAAACTTTGAGACACAAAACTGACTGAAGAGCACTTACGTCCGACTTATCCTCCCCAATCCAGAAGTGGATATTGTGTACAATTTTGCCATTCTTGATGAACGTCTTTACAACAACGAAGATGTCATCGCTGAAGAAATAGCCAACATCTTCGTCAGGGATTCGCACCGGGTTTCCCCCCTGAAATTGTTTACAGCATATTATTGCCTTTTAAAAGAAAACTACCTCGAATAAGAATTTTTTTTGAAAATGTACATAACCCATTAGACCTTTACTTAGGTTCGTTTGGTTGTTAGAAAAAACTTAAGTGGTGTGTACTTCAGTCCCAATACTCTAATGAGAAAGCTCGACACGAGTGCAAACGAAATAACTAAAGGGGTTTCCTATCTCCCCTTAATGTACCTTACGAGAAACTGGAAACTTGACATCTCTTTTGGATTTAATGCCCAAAAGACTTTCTGAGTGTCATCTTTCTCATGCGCTTCTGACCCCCGCTGTCCTTAGGAGGCACAACCTTCGCCAACTTAACTTTTACTCTTTAAAACTGGGTATCAGCACTTTTTTT